TTGTTTTTTTGTTTTCCAATCAGCTGAGCTGGCAGCAATCCCCCTCCAACCCAGAGCAGCTTAGAAGAAAAGTGAATGCTGACTGGAATGCCTAGGTGGGGCCTAGGGTGAAGGGTCCCCTGAGGAGGAGCCGGGCAGCCTGGGGAGCCCACCCCACCCACACACCCACCCAGAACCAGACTGGGCTCAGATCTGAGGACAGCCAGCTGGTCATCTTGGTCCTAATGCGATTCCTTCCGTTATCCTGGCCGTGCCGTACAGTTCTGTAGAATGATCTGGTGAATTCAATTCAATTAAGCTCTACCACCACAGAGCCTGCCAGAGCTCCCAGTACACACAGCCTAGATTGGGGGGGGGCAGGCAGGCAGGGAGTGAGGGGGGACCCAGAGATGCCTCTGGGCTTGCCCAGGGCTACACAGGGAAGTGGAAAACTCAGCTTCAATCCCAGCCATCCCACACAGACCTCCCCTTCCCGCATCGGAGGCCGGGGAATAGAAATGCCCGTAATGTCTTGATCAAACAAAGACAGAGCGCGTGGGCTCAGCGAGAGGCAGGCAGGGCCACGGGCGCCATGCACGGAGTCAGGGCACAGCCTGAAGGGGAATGGAAGTGGTGGGAGGGGCACAGATTTGGGTGTCAAATCCTGGGATGTCCCCAGGACACCTTGCTACCTGAGGCCCCTCTGTTCCTCCCTCTATGTTCGATTCTGTTCCTTTCCATCCATTCACCCCCTCACTCCAGCCTCTCTGCAGATTTGGGTGCACCCAGCTCAGGCCTCAGTAAATGGGGTCCATTTCTTGTGCCTCCTCCAGTCTGAGGGTCCCACAAGGCAGGGCCCCTGGAGGACACTGCGACCAAGCTCTTGGCTGCCAATGGAAGAAATCAATTTGCTTGAGGGGGGGGGGAAAGTTGGAGTGGGAGTGGGGGGATTTTCTTGGCCTGAAGTGAAACCATATGCAACCATGGGCTTCAGATCCAGCTGGATCTAGTTGCCCAACATGAATGGAACCTTCCTTTCTTAGTTCTCCTGTTCCCTGAACTGACTCTGCTCTGAAGGAGGGGCATTTATATGTGATGATTTACACCCACTTGCCTGTGGTAGCCTGGGGGCCCAGGACCTTCTCCCACGGGAGCCAGAAGGAAATGCTACGCATGCTCCCATGGAAGAAAACCACATAATCCCAAGCACTTGGTGGCAGCCAGGGACATTGTCACACAGAGGACAGAGCTCTGCTCCAGTCAGCATCTTCTGGCAGAGCAGTTACACTGGCCAGGTGTGCAGGGGTGCATCCACTTGGGGGTGTGGCCTGAGGAGGAGGTGGGGGCCCAAAGGGCTAGGGGCTGGCAGGAGGAGGGACACTGCTGTGACCTCCAGAGGATCTGAGGGTAGGGGACAGCCAGAGCACAAATGCACATGATAATGACTCGCCGCCGCCAACATGCTCACGGTACCTGCAGACACGTGTGTACACAGTAACACACAGCTACACATGTGTGCTGGACACACTGCTATCAGTACACTTGTTCGGTCATGAGCCAAACACCCGTAGGATACACACACAGACACACACACACAGGCACAGCGTGGCGGCATGAATCTTCTTGGCACACAGATGCATGCACACACACACGCACGCGCACACACACCCCGCACACTGGGGGCCTGGGGATGAGAGGCTGGTGGGGAAGAGCAGAACCCGGTTGCCCTGGCAACACATCCTGGGACCCGCTGGGCCTCATCGCGTGGCTCATCTGACAGACAAGCAGCAGGAAAGAGCCTGCTGAAGTCCCACATCCTGCTGGACAGTCCATGGATGGTCCATGGCTGCTTCCTGAGCGATCTGGGTCTCAGCAGGGGGCAGTGAGCAAAACAACCCCGCCTGGAGTCAAAAGAGGTCCCCGGGTCCCATCCTGGGAGGTCAGGGGTAAGACCCCAGAAGACCACAGGGGTCACAACCTGTCCTGATGGCTCAGGTGGGTCCCCTTGTACTAAGCCAGAAGTCAGGAAGCAAAACCTGGGCCCAGTTCCCTGCTGCCCAGTGGCTTATGGACTCGGCCAGCCCAGTGCTCCCCACTATAGCCCTAGGACCCCGGGCCTTCTTTCACCCCCTCATCTGTCTAGAGTAGGAAGAGAAATCCCAGAATCCCTGCAGGCAGAAGGGGACATCAAATCCCATCCACAGGCCACAGCATGAGCCCATGGGACTCAGTGGCCAGTGAAGGGGTGAAGGGCAGGGTGGACCTTGGCCGCCCACCCAGTGCCCACCCTTGACATCCTGCAGATATGGTTCTCCACCCAATGCCCCTGGGTTCCCGGTACCACTGAGGAGTTAGGGATGGCTAGAGACCAGTGTGATGTGCAGGGAAAATGGGGGTGGGCGAGGGCAGAGAAAAAGCCACTCCCCTCCCCCACCCTACCTGCCCAAGGTGGAAGTGAAGTCCAGCCTCCCCTCACACCACCAGACAGGACAGGCCAAGCTGGCTTCTGTCTGACCAGGGGCTTTCCCTCACCTTAACAGTGGATCGTGTTGGAGGGTCCCCCTGTGGGCAGGAGCCAAGGTCAGCTGACTCTGGCTGGGATTAGAAAGCTCGGCTTGTAATAGAGCCCCCTTGAGGTCAGTGTCCAGCGCCCAGGCTGCTGAGCATCAGGCTCCCCACTGCCTGCCCCTCCGGGCAGCGGAGGTGGAGGAGGCAGCCCGAAAGGACTTTCCCTACCCAGCCTCCCCGGCATTCAAGGCCAGACTTCCTTCCCTATTACTCCACAGCAGAGCGAGCAGACCGCCACCCCCACATTCCCGAAACACCTTTATTGCACTAAAAACAGCATTTTATAAACAAACACATTTGGGAAGAAGGTGTCATAAAGATTCGTCCACAGTCAACTTCAAACACAAAGATAGCAAACGGTGCAGAGATGTAGAAAACGCGCGTGGGGGTGTGGGGGACCCCAAGGGGAACAGGGCAGAGGTCAGAGAATAGACAAGGCAGTTACAGGCTCCATGCAGGGTCCCCCTGCCCACCACCCCGGCCTGACCAGCCCAGGCCCCAGGGGTCCCCCACAACACAGGGACCCATTTCAAGGTCCCCCTCATTCTGTCTCAAGGGGATACAGATTTCTCTCATGGATGTACAGCAGGGAGCATAGGTTCCCTCTGGTCTTGGGTGGGGGTCAGTTCCCACAACCCCTCTGTAGTGAGACCTAGGAGTCCGGAGGTTACAAAACTAGCAAAGAGATTGACAAAGGCGCATCCTGAACCCCACAGCCGTGGGCCCAGCAGGCAGCCTGTTCCGACCTGCATCCTACAGTGTGGCAGAACTCCAGCGAGAATCCACACAGCCCTACCCTGCACAGCTGTCCAACTCCCCGAACAACACAAACTCCACCCCCAGGGCCCCCAGCCTGCCCCTGAGCCATTCTACCTGCCTGCCATAACCAGATCCTCCATAGACAGGTGGAACCAGGGGCACTGGCCAAGGGGGCTGGCTGGCCGAGAGGACAGAGGGGTGGTCCTGAGGGGTGGGGAGGGGAGCCTCTGGCAGGAGGCTTCAGCCACGCTGGCAGCTGAAGAGCCCAGGCCGAGGAGCTGGCCTGGAGGAGACAGTCCACAGAGCGCCACCACCCTGAGCAGCTCCAAAGCCTTCCCTGCTCCAGCCTGGCGGTTGTGCTGTCAGGCATTAGCCATTCCAGCCATGGTGATGGCGAGGGATTGCCCAGAGCCAGGGAAGGGGGGTGAGGGGTGGTGCGGGAAACCTTCTTCAGTCTGGTGAACATCGCAGGCAGAAGATGGTGTCATCAGGAGCTTTCAGGGCAGCTGAACACCAGTGGCTCAATGCCTGTTTATCCTAGCTACCTAGGGAGCTGAGATCTGAGGGTCCAGGTTTGAAGCCAGTCCAGACAGGAAAGTCTGTTAGACTCTGACGTCCAATTAACCAGTAAAAAGCCCAAAGTGGAGCTCTAATTCAAATGACAGAGAGATATCCTTGCGGGGAGGGGGGGCATGAGCTAGGAGGCAGTGGCTCACACCCGTCATCCTAGCTACTCAGGAGGCTGAGCTCTGAGGGTCATGGTTTGAAGCCAGCCCAGGCAAGAAAGTCTGTAAGCCTCTTATCTCCAACTAACCACTAGAAAACCAGAAGTGGAGCTGTGGCTCAGGTGATAGAGAGCTAGCTTGGAGCAGAAAAGCTCAGGAACAGCGCCCAGGCCCTGAGTTCAAACCCCACAACTGACAACACACATACACACACCAAAAAAACCCAACAATGAGAGCTCAAGGCCCTGAGTTCAAACCCTAGTCCCAGCACACACACACATAAAGAGTTTTTAGGGCATCAGGGCAGAATGGGGTGGCGGCAAAAATGTGGGAAGAGGCTGATACCCACATGTCAAAGGGAGAGACTGCGTTCAACCTGGGAAGAGCAATCCTGGTGTATCCCACAAATCCCTGGGTCCTTCACAACACTTGAAACCCTGGGGCTCTTCCTTTGCCCTAGCAGTCTTTCTTCCTCCAGGAAGAAAGAAAGAAAGAAAGAAAGAAAGAAAGAAAGAAAGAAAGAAAGAAAGAAAGAAAGAAAGAAAGAAAGGAAGAAAGGAAGGAAGGAGGGAAGGAAGGAAGGAAGAAAGAAAGGAAGGAAGGAAAGAAGGAAGGAAAGAAAGAAAGAAAGAAAGAAAGAAAGAAAGAAAGAAAGAAAGAAAGAAAGAAAGAAAGAAAGAAAGAAAGAAAGAAAGAAAGGAAGAAAGGAAGGAAGGAGGGAAGGAAGGAAGGAAGAAAGAAAGGAAGGAAGGAAAGAAGGAAGGAAGGAAAGAAGGAAGGAAGGAAGGAAGGAAGGAAAGAGGACATTGTGGTCAGCATCAGTGCCCCTAGGGACCCCCCTAGTGCCAAGCCCGGCCTGAGTGAACCCCATCTCCCCACCGGGTCCCCAGCCTGTTGATCTGCCTCCACGGCCCCAGGTGCAGGGGACGTGGTCCCCTCCTCCTGCCCCTGGCCCAGGGCGCACTGGCCTTACAGGAAGGGGAGCAGGGAGGTGAGGGGCAGTTCCTTCTCCCCGAGCAGCGTGTCCCGCTTCAGGCTGCTGCCCTTGTTCACAACCTTGATCCTCAGGGCCAGCTTCCGGACGCTGGCCGGCCCCAGGCCGTCGAAGAAGAAGTCCTCGTTGAAGACGGGGTGGCGGCTGTTCTTGATGATGGTACTCCGCTGTTTCTGCAGCTTGCCGGGCACCAGGCACAGCCCCACGCAGCAGTTGATGCTGCGGGCGTCGCACGGCCGCTCGTACAGACCCTCGGCGGCCAGCAGGCGCACGCGCAACCGGGCCTGCGCCGCCTCGTACTCGGCCAGCAGCCGCACGCTGCCCCTCACCCCCATCCGCACCGTGTGCTCCCCGCGAGGGGTCTGGCCGGACTCGGGGCCAGGTTCCGGGGTGGCCCGGCGGGTGAGGCGCCGCCGGACCCCGGGGCTGGTGTCGGGCGTGCTGTCATCGGCGGACAGGGACCCGTGGCGGCCCACGGAGTGCTTGAGTTGGCTCACCTTGGCCTGGCTGTCCTGGGCAAAGCCCTTGAGCAGTGACACCGAGCGAGACAGCAGAGGGGACCCGAACGGAGACGACTCGGCCGAGGACCCTGTGTCGCTCTCCCCGCCACTGAAATAGCGCCCCGGGCTCATGAGGGCCCCCCCGGATTCCCGCGGGCCCCCCTCGCCCCCGTTGGCTTTGCCGCCGGCCCGGCGGCGCCCCGCGCCCGGCGAGCCCACCTGGGCCAGGGCCCCGTGCTCACTGTGGAAAAGGGACTCCTTGCGCCGCGTGTGCGGGCTCTCCGCCAGCGTGGCGAAGCCGTACGAGGTCTGCGCCTTGGGCACCGAGGGCAGGGACATGGCGCCTTGCGCCTGGGGGTCGGCGTTAGTGGCCTCCTCGGCCGGCCAGTCCTCCGCGCTCTCTATCTGGATGACATGCCTGGTGGCTGCCTTCAGGAGGCTGCGGCTCTCCGCAGCCAGCTTGGCTGGCAGCCGGGGGCTCCGCGGAGCGCGGCGGGGAGCGGCCGAAGCCAGGTTCTGATCCGACGGGGAGGGCCCCAGCTCGGCCTGGCCCTCGCCGGCCTCGGAGGGGCCCGAGGGCAGCTTGGGAGGGATGAAGAAGTCGGGGATCTTGTCGGGTGTCAGCACATTGCTATACAGAGGCCCCTTGGAGGCCTTGTCCCCGGCCTCGCCCCCTAGCCCCCGACCCCCACCATTCTCCCCAGACCCCCGAATCCGCTCCAAAAACCACATGTTGGTTTTTTTCATGAGGACAGCGAGCCCCGAGGCCGGGGAAGGGGTCGCACACAGCGCCTGGGGAGAGAAGGGGGAGGGGGTCAGGGGCGGGCACCTGTCGGAGGGAGGGGGGCACCTGTCAGCCCCCCCACACACCCCGGCCAGCAGGGGCGGTGGACGGTCACTCTGGGGCGGTGGCCTCCGCTGGGGGGGGTGGGGCCCGGATTCCTCTTCCCAGAGAGCCGGGGCTCAACTTCCCGGCCGCGGGGGAGGGGGGGAGGGCGCAGCCCCCCTCCCCCGGCCGCCCGCCCGATCCCAGCGCGCTCTCGACCCGCCCCTCCCCTCCCCCGGGGAGGACCCGGGAGTGCGCGGGCCCCAGGTGCCCCGGCCCCGCCCCCAGCGGTCACCCACCTGTGGCTTCTCCCGGATGCGGCGCGGGATGGGGGAGGAGGGCGGTGGGGTCCCGGGGTCCCGGGCGCAGCGAGCGGATCGTCACCCCCGGACGCGCCTGCGGCCTGGGGTCCTAACGATCCGCCCCCCGGACTGGCCCTGGGCTCACCTGCCGGCGGGACCGCGGAGGCTCTGGACTGCTCAACGCTCGGCGACAGGCCCGAGCGCAAGCTCCGGAGCCCGAGGTGGCAGCGCAGTCGCCCGCTCGGCGGGAAACCGCCCACCCGGCCGTATTCCTCCGAGTGAGGCCGCGCGCTCCGCCCCGCGCCCCCGCCGCAGGGCGGGGCCTCCGGATAGGGGCGGAGCCTCTTTGGAGGGGCGGAGCCTCGGAGGGGCGGTGACCCGGGGGAGTGGCCAGCGTGGGGCTGAAGCTTCAAGTCGGAGGCGGGTAAGGGGGCGGGGCCTCTGGTAGGCGGGGCCCCGGGTGGAGTGGGGCAAACGCGGGTCCCATGTCTGCATCAGTGGGGACAGGGGGCGGGGCCTAAGATGGTCCTTGCGAGGGGCGGGGCCTGTGTTATGGGGCGGGGCCAACACGGGGTTAAATCTTAGTGTCGTGGGGCGGGGTCAGCACCTAATTGGGCACAGAGGAGGGACCTCCATCACCTGGCCAGGTGGGCACCACTTGGGTACCACTTCCTCAGCTTCTGTGAGCATGTTAGATTATTAATGACCGACTCCCTGCCCAGTCTGTCCCACGTTTTGGACCCCAGGCCCCCAAGCCCCTCAGCCTATTGCTGTCCCCAATATGTAGATGAAGGTGAGTGTTGTTCTCTCTATATAAAGATTAAGCCAAAACCTGGGCGCTGAGGCTCATGCCGGTAATCCTAGCTACTCAAGAAGGTAAGATCTGAAAATGGAGGTTCAAAGCCAACCTGGGCAGGAAAGTCTACGATTCTCATCTCCAATTAATCAGCAATAAGCCAGATGTGGACCTGTGGCTCAAGTGGAAAAGTACCAGTCTTGAGCAAATAAAAAGCTAAGGCAAAGCACCCAGGCCTTGATTTTAAATTCCAGTATCAGCACGCACATTGGGGGGGAGGGTGAGTGGCGTGTGTGCACGCACACATACAAACTACACCAGAGAAATGTAAGAGGAAGGAGGGGGGCAACCAGCCACGCCACTCAGGAGAGGAGTAAAGCCAAGAGGGACGTGTCCAGGGCTCAGACCCAAGCAGGCCCTCCAGGTAGCCAGACCTTTCCTGCTAGCCCCAGACTTCACTGCTACCTGACCCTCCCCTTCTCTTTTGCCTCAGTTTCCTCTTCCAGAACCCAGATGGCTACTTCCCTGACCAGCCTTAGCTTGACAAGCCAAAAAGATAAGGTATCAACTGGCACCCAGCAGTCATCTGGCGCTTTATTAAATTAATGATTGTCAAGAGCCACCCATATTCCAGAAATGTCCCTAAGTGCCACCGTGACCCATGCTAGAATACTGGCAGGATGAGTGACTGCTTGCCTATCAGCTGAGGAGTGGGTGTGGGACCCAGGTCCTGTCCCCTGATACCTCTACACATCCTGGAAGCCAAGTGGGATTGGAGGTTGATCATCCAGATAGGACCAGGAGGCCAGAAGAAGCTGAGATCACCCCCACAAAGGCCATCTCAGCTGGATTCATTGAGAGGGGTCCCACCCACTTTGGGCCAGAAGCCAACAGGAAAAGTACCATGGAGATCTTGTTCCTATAATGTCCCCAAGGCCTGCTCTGGGCAAATTGAGGGGTCTTCAGTAAATATTTGCCAGACACCAAGCACGGTGGTGCATGCCTGTCATCCTAGTGTGCGGGAGGCAGAGATAGGAGGCTTGGAGTTCAAGGCCAGCCTGGGATCCTGTCTCAAAACAAAGCAAAAAAAAAAAAAAGTCAGACAATTGTGCAACAAGAAAGAGGGTCCTGAGAACCCTTGCTCAGTTCTGCAGTGAACTCCTCCAGGGCTAGGGAAGGGGTTCAGAGCCCCCTGTTTATTGCACGGTTGGGGGGTGACAAGACCAGGTCTTGAGGATCACAGCCCAGCACTCATGCTAAGTTGGAAGCAGCACCTCTCCTCCCATGTGGGGATCTCAGCTTCCTGAGTAGCTATGATCACAGACATGAGCCACTGGTGCCTAACCAGCATCACTTTGCCAAGCACCCAGCATTTGCAGAGAACCTGCAAGGTCAGTGTGGGCTACCATTGTTCCCCAGATGTTCTGCAGTGTAATCAAAAGTCTCAGCCATGATCCAGTCCTGGAAAAACTCAGAAGATGACATCACCAACAGGAAGTCCCGCCCCCTACCCCTACCTCCTTCACACCTGGAGAAAGAACCCTGCGATGAAAAGTACCTACTCACCCATACCCACCCCACTGACAGCTGAGGACGCTGCCACAGAAGCCAGGGAGCCCAGCCCACCCAGCTGGCAGTGGGCAAACAAACACTGAGCAGTCTGGGCTGGCAAGGGTGTGGTACCCCCAGGATGCCCAGCCTTCCTGGAGCCTGAGAGGGTGCTGCAGCTGTAATCGCACACTACAAAAAAGGGGGCACAGGTGGTATTGACTGGCCCTGAGTCGTGTCACCTCATGCTGGGTGGCTTCAGCGCCAGCCCCAAGCTGGGGACTGGTAGGAGTGATTCTCAGATGCCTGGATCCCATCAATATCCAGCACAGGCTTAGAAAGGTACAGATGGCTGAAAGAACCAGAACCCAGGGCCCCAGGACCCAAGATCCAGGGCCAGTCCCAAAAAGGCCATAGGTGCTCATGAGGCTCTGGCAGGGACCACTTCCATACTATCTTCTCCATCAGAGCAGGGAAGGTGGCTCCAAGAGCTGGAGGAACAGCCCGTCTGAAAACCCCCAAGTAGGATTCCCCTCATTCCCCTAGGATCCTGTCCACAGCTTCCCTGTAAGCTCCAGGTGTCTACAGATAGCAAGGCCTTTGTTAGAGCCTCACAAAGCCTCCACGGCAGGGCAGGGGGTGGGGGAGCAGGACATAGCTTGCCTAAATTGCACAGACTCTGAACTTGAACTCAGGACTCTCCTACACCCATCCCAAGTCTCCCCCAGGACAGGTTGGGCCAAGGAATGTCGGCTGACTGAATAGCTGAAGGTAAAAAAAGGGGAGTAAGACTGACTCCACTGGAGTCAGAGCTGAGCTTCCAGCTCCCTGTTTGCATCAGTACTTCAGACTTTTCATTCTTTTTTTTTGGGGGGGGGGTCTGGTTGTAGGGCCTGAACTCTGGGCCTGGGCGCTGTCCCTCAGCTCTTCTGCTCAAGGCTAGGGCTCTACCAATTGAGCCACAGCGCCACTTCCGGCTTTTTTCTTTTTGCTTATGTGGTGCTGAGGAATCGAACCCAGGGCCTCAGGCATGCAAAGCAAGCACTCTACCACTGAGCCACCTTCCCAGCCCAGTACCTCAGACTTTTCAGCAAAAAGAAAAGCAGGATGGGATTGGGCTGGGCCACAGCGTGATCTTGCTCTCCTCCTCGCCTGCAAAGCAGGGAGAACTTGAGCACCTGTACTTGTACAGGTAATCACCAAACACCTGGACTTCAGAGTACAGGATGGAGGCAGGGAGCCCAGGTCTCACAGGACCCAGGGCTAAGGGCAAATGAATTTGTGAGCCCATAAAATACATTTAGACCTCTGTCATCAAGAGCTGGTATTTCGTGACACTCCTCTGCTCAAGACCCCACTGCCTCCACTCTATCTTCCCATCCCTTCCTCACTGGAATGCATGATCTGTTCTTCAGTGTGCTGGATTCACAGGGCCTTTGTACTTGCAGTCTCTTTCGCTGAACTCTACCTCCACTTGGCCTGAAACATCCTCACAGAGGCCCTCCACATGTCCTGGAATATCTGAGTTGTAGGACTTTGGTTTTCATGGTTGTCAGTGCACATTTAGTGGTGATTTGCTCATGAGTACCACAAGGAAAAGTCTGACTGGGCACTTTTGTGTCCCTGTTGTTTACCAGAAGGTGTTCAGGATGCTGAAGGATGGTGGGTGGATTAAAAGATGGATATATAGATGGGTGGATGGATGGGTGGGTGGGTAGATAGATGGATGGAAAGGTGGGTGGATGGTTGAATGGATGGATTGATGGATGGATGGGTATGTTAGTGGGTGGATGTGTGTGTGTGTGTGTGTGTGTGTATGGATTGATGGATGGATAGATGGCTGGCTGGGTGGCTGGCTGGGTGGGCAGATGTGTAGATGAATGGATGTGTGGAATGATGGGTAGATGGGTGGATGGATGGGTGGAAGGGTGGATGGATGGATGGATGGATGGATGGATGGGTGGGTGGGTGGGTGAGTGGATGGGTCAGTGTTTGGAGGGGTCACAATGAGTGCTGTCCCTGAGCTGTTTTTACTCAAGGCTGGAGCTCTACCACTTGAGCGATGCCTCCACTTCCAGATTTTTGTTGGTTAATTGGATATTAGAGTCCCATAGACGTTTCTACCTAGGCTAGCTTGAACCATAATCCTCAGCTCTCCGTCTCCTGAGTAGCAAGAATGACAGGCATGAGTCACCAGCAGCTGGCAGGGGAAGAAAGTGTTGAAGTCTGGGGGGGGGGGAAAGGGGCTCCAAGATGTTGGAGATAAGCTAGGTGT